GATAGTTTTCGATCATTCGGGTCCTAGATTGATAGTTTTTCATAATTCGGGTCCTATTTTTTTTACTCCAAGGGGGCGTCTGGGAGAGAGGAGATGGGGGACCTGGAGTAATTAGGGCTGAAACTCACTTCATTGAGTTTCAAACCCTTATATGCCTAGCGAGTTTCGAACTCGAGATTTTTCACTAAGCACGGTAACCTCACAACCAACTAGGCTGGAATTCACGGTAACTCCATCATTCGGGTCGGTCCTATACCGATTGATAGAGTATTAACTATTAGAGAGAAGGGAGAGCTTGAGAGAGAAGTGCAATAAGTTCTGCAATAAATGTATTTGTGAACCCTCTACAACTACCCCCAAGGGAGTATTTATAGAGAAAATATGGGTTGGGCTCCCAAGTCTTGGCCTTGGGAGGCCCGTTTATAATGAGGCCTCTATTGGCCGAATACAAAGTATTCCCTCCGTCCCGATGATTTCTTCCAACTTTCCTTTTCGGATCGTCCCAATTAATTCTTCCAACTTCCACTTTTGGAAAAAATATGTGGTTCACATTCATTCACATTTTTCTTACACAACTACAACCATATATTTCCACTTTATTCCCACTATCTAAATTTGCGAGCCAAGTCAATTTAGGAAGAAATGACTGGGACGGAGGGAGTATCTAAATTGACTAAGTATGAAATCTAACTATTCGAGGTCTCTGTGGTCGACAGAGGTCTGGCCGAAGGAGCCCTGGCCGACGGAGACCTGGCCGACGGGAGTACCCGGTTCTCCTGGCTTCTGGATCACATTCTGAGTTGATGTCTGTCTGGCCGATGGAGGACCCACTTGGTGGCAGATTTGCTTCCTCTTAGTCTTCTGAGTACGTGGGTCATGGGTCTTGGGCCCATATACTCCATCAAGAGTCCCCCACTCTCTGAGCTGAGGTGTAGACGAAGTGAAAGGGAGTAGATTCTTGTTGTCTTGCTTGTTTTGGCCGATGCGGAGCCGCTGTGGCTATTCTCTGTGTTTGGTTATTATGTGGCCAAATTGATTATCCTTCCTTGGACTCAGACATTTCTCTCACTCAGCCGTTGTGGAGCCTTTGTTTTTATGCCGCGGACGATGTGTGTCCTTATGCTTTGAGGACGATGAGTGTGACCCCTGAGGACGTCACGTGTGCTTTGGCCGTTGTATTGTTCTCCTATCTTGTCCAGAGATGGGACATATAGGCTGAGGACGATGTTGTCCTTCGTAGTTTTTGGTTACCTTGCGCAGCCGAGGAGGCACCGTAATTGTTTTTGGTGCTCCAGGCCGAAGAGGGACAATATATGGTTTGGTAGTTTGATTCGTAGCGTGGACAATGGAGGTCCTTATCCAGTGAACCACGAACGTCCATGGTTTTTTGAGGATGATGAATGTCCTGTCTTATTGCTTTTGACTTTAGCTGAAGGTGGACATTCATGGTGTCTTTGTCCTTCTGGCCGACGGTGGATCACATGGTTGAGGACGCTGTGATACCTGTCTTTGGCTTGTGGTCCTTTTTCGTTTTTGAACTTGTTTATCTTGGGGTCTCTTTGGAGTCTGTGAAGGTCGATACAGTCCCCCAGTCCCCCACTCCTTGAGGCACATGTAATGATGTGAAAAGGAATAGAGCAATGCACGTCTCCAACAGAGGGCCAAGGGTCGACACCTTTTGATCCACAATGGGGAGATGCCTCGTTAAAAACCTCATTAGGAAAAACCCTGTGGGAAAAATTCCTAATGAGGGAAAAAGAGCGCACCGCGTGCCCTCAAAATGAACTCCAATGGGTGAACCCTTCGGCCTGGGTGTGGAGCTGCAACGGTGTCCGTCTGCTGAGGGGACGCCCGTCTGATGATGAGGACGACGGCGCTGATGAGCCGGTCCGAATATGAGGACGAGACGATGGACGCCTGTCTGATCATGAGGACGAGGCGGTGAACGCTTGTCTGAATATGAGGGCGATGGTGATGATGAGCCGATGGTCCTATAAAGGTGATGTTCACCATCCAGGAAGGGATGGCGAGCCCGATCGCTAGCTCAAGACTCTCGGCGCTGAGGAAGCCGGTCTTGAAATAGATAACCACGTTAAGGCCGAGCAGCCGGTCGTGATGTGGGGACGAACGACGATGAGGAGCCGGTCCTATAAATGATGATGAGGCGATGATGAAGATGATCGTCATATAAAGGCGATGGTCATCATCTAGAAAGGGAATGGTGAGCCCAATCGCTAGCTCAGGACGTTCGGCGCTGAGGAAGTCGATCTTGAGATAAAGGATCACGTTGAGGCTGAGGAGCCGTTCATGATCTGAGGACGACAGAACTGAGAGGCCGTTCATCGTAAAGGCGACGGTCCCCATCTTGGAAGAGATGGAGAGCCATATCACTAGCTCAAGGCGTTTGGCTCTGAGTAAGCCGGTCTTGAGATAAAGGATCACGCCGAGGCTGAGGAGCCGTTCGTGATCTGAGGATGACGGAAGTGAGAGGCCGTTCGTCGTAAAGGCGACAGACCCCATGGAAGGGATGGAGAGCCCTATGGCTAGCTCAATACGTCCGACGCTGAGGAAGCCGGTCTTGAGATAAAGGATCACACTGAGGCTAAGGAGCCGTTCGTGATCTCAGGACGACGGAACTGAGAGGCCATTTGTCGTAATGGCAATGGTCCCCATCCCGGAAGGGATGGAGAGCCCTATCGCTAGCTCAAGACGCTCGGCGCTGGGGAAGCCGTTCTTAAGATAAAGGATCACGCTGAGGCTGAGGAGCCGTTCGTGATCTGAGGACGACGCAACTGAGAGGCCATTCGTCGTAAGGGCGATGGTCCCCATCTTGGAAGGGATGGAGAGCCCTATTGCTAGCTCAAGACGCTCGACGCTGGGGAAGCCAGTCTTGAGATAAAGGATCATGCTGAGGCTGAGGAGCCATGCGTGATCTGAGGACGACGGAACTGAGAGGCCGTTCGTCGTAAAGGCGACGGTCCCCATCCTGGAAGGGATGGAGAGCTCTCAATGAAAGCACCAAATGATAGAGTATTAACTCTTAGAGAGAAGGGATAACTATAGAGAGAAGTGCAATAAATTTTGCAATAAATGTATTTGTGAACCCTCTACAACTGCCCCCAAATGGAGTATTTATAGAGAAAATATGGACTGGGCTCCCAAGTCTTGGGCTTGGGAGGCCCGTTTACAATGATGCCTCTATTGGGCCGAATATAAAGTATGTAAATTGGCTAAGTATGAAATCTGACTACTCTAGGTCTTTGTGGCCGACGGAGGTCTGGCCGAAGGAGCCCTGGCCGGTGGAGACCCGACAAAGTATTCTCCTGGTTTCCTGATCACATTCAGAGTTGATGTCTGTCTGGCCGATGGAGGGCCATCTGGTCGACGGAGGACCCACTTGGTGGCAGCTTTGCTTCCTCTCAGTCTTCTGAGTATGTGGGCCATGGGTCCTGGGCCAAGCCCGTGCCTTATGTAAGGCTGGAGAGGCCCAAGTCTCAGGGCCCCAAAAAATTGGAAAAATTAAGGGCCCATGTTTTTCAAAAATTAGTATTATACATATATGTATTTTATATCTAATTAGTCGATCCCTCCCAATTAAAACAACCAGCCCCTGCGATTTGACGTTTGCGAAAGATACCACCAGTAGAGACATTAGGGATTGAAGCGAACTAGCGAAGAAGCGAAGCGGTCATGGACTCAGGAGCGAAGGACTGAAGGAAGATTGGAGAAAATACTTACCGGCCTTCTTTGTTCAGCTGTTCTCTACTTGACTACTTGACTACACTCTGGGCGAGAGAAGTGATTCTGGGCATTTCTGGCTGCGCACAAATGCGCAATCACAGTAGCGCAGGTAACATTTTGTTATCTTGAATTCCTTCAACAGCTCTACCTTAACTCTTTAAGCTTCTACTGATTATAGTTATCGATTCTTGCTTATTTGTATATATTAGTAATTAGTTCATTCTTTGCTTGTTTTATTATTTAGGGTTATCATTTATCAATATTGCAATTATGGAATTCTCAATTTACAATGAGTTAAATTATAATATTATATGCTTTGTATTTTTAGAGAAAAATTACTAATATATATTATTAAGGATACCACTAAATTATGTATTTTTTATTTTTTAGAACCATGCCACCCAAACATTTTTACGGTCAACCATGTCTCAAGAAAGGTTGAATGAATTAGCTATGTTATCAATTGAGAGGAAATTTATTGATGACATAGATTATGCGGATGTGATAAATATTTTTGCATCTAAAACTGTTCGACGAGTTGTACTTAATTAGTTTTTAGTACATTCAGTGACATTTTGTTATCATGTAAGACTTTTATTTATGAATTGTGGTTTTTTATATTTAATCATTAAATTTTAGTGAATTATATGACAAACAAATACTATGTATAGGGTTCATTTATGATGATCGACTCAGGCCCGAGTTTAATCAGGATCAGCATTGTCCTGAGCCCATATATTCCATCATCGATACATTTCACCTTTCAGATTCCGAATTTATAGTTCGTCTATCTTTCGGATCCCAGACTGATAAAATTCCTTGAAAATTTTGGATACACAAGGACATACCATAGTACTCCGTATAACCCGCACGGGTAGCTCAGTTGGTCGAGTGGTGGGAAAAATTGGACGTAGACCAAGGTTCGAATCCCGCAGCGGCCAAAAGGGGGTTTTCAGAACCTGAAATAAGGCTGACCCTCTGGTGCGCACGGGTAAAGGCCTACTGCCGCTTTGCCGACTGAGTCACCGTGATTTACTTCTCCACAATCCTGTCGGGTCGGGGTGGGGGGCCCTTGAGGTTGAGGATTCAACCTTTTTGGACATAGTACTCCGTATAAATTTAGACTCGACTTATAAAGAAAAATGTAAAAGGTCCTGGTATTGATAAGCAAAAGTAGAGGCCGGGAGCTCCAGGAATTTGCTAACCCGATAGCACAGTCCAAACAAAAACTAATATGGGGGGCCTGCAACCCATGTATGCGGCGGCCCAACTACGCGTTCCCAAAATTGTAATCTCAGTTTCTTTTGCCCGTAAGGCGATTGAACTACTTTCCTTCTGGCTCCGGCCTTCACCCACGCGCCACTTGAAGTGTAGTAGTACTCGTGCTGGCCAACTTGATTCCTCCCCAGGTTTGACGTCTCCGTGCTTAATTGATTATAACCCTGTACTCTGTGTTTGATAGTGTGGATGTGGAATAGGAAATTAGGAATCGCGATACTTTTCTAGCTATGAAAATATTTATCTACTGCGTTTATATAGTAATAATCCTTTTAAGTAAACAGCCCTTAATCCCTCCTATGGGCGTATGGGATTGTAGGATTCCCCTTGTGCGGTTGTGCCTACTGCATTTTCAAAGTGGTAGCGAAATTGAACTTACTCCTTAATTCTTTTACTTATAAAGCTGTGTTCTTGCATAGGCTCTACTAGTTTCCGGTTGGAGGGTGATTTTCTTTGTACTGGTTGGCTAAAAGGTTAAAGCGAGCATTTGCATTGAAAAATCCACATTGTTCCTTATGGCTTCTGTAATTCAACAAGTACCTGCAGATGATTCGGTTCTGCTCAGGGTCACCCATTCTAATATCAAGAGTTTCTTGGCTGATATCCGTTTATACCGTCAGGTATTTATGCATCTTATCAATTCCTTTTTTTCATTTTGTTGGTATTAGTCATTAGTGCTGTTGTTCTCAATTTTTTTAACATTAAATATTACACTGAATTGAAACAGAGCTGGTTTGATTTTAATCAAGAATGGAAATGGGAAGTTGAATCATTGGTTTTATTACATGCCAATACAATTTTTTTTAGACTTGCTTATAGTTTGTAGCTCATACTTTATATATTATTATACTCCCTTTGTCACATACAAAGATAATTGAAAAGAGATTTTTTTCTGAAAGATTTCTAATTAAACACTCATTGGACACAATATTAGTTCTTAACATTAGAACATGAATGTAATCAACACAGTTAACAGTGGCCTGTTAGAAATTGGTAATGACCAGATGCCCGTGTTCTGGTAAACCTTTAATTTCACATCATTTGATATTTGATAAAAGCTAAACTACATAACAATGCTCATGTTCTGAATCCTAGATCTCCTGGATAGTTGGCTGCTGGTAAACCTTGAATTTCACATCATATGATATTGATAAAAGGTAAACTAGATAACAATACTTGTGTAGTTGTGTTCTGAATCCCAGATCTCCCGGACAGTGGAAGTTTACTATTTCGATTAACCTTTTGGTTTCTTTGTTCATGCTTCTTAATTTTTTGAAATAGTATGTTAATGTTGGACTCACTTCGTAGATAATTAGTGAGAAAGCATTACATTTAAAGGTTTTCCTTTCAACTTTTCTCTCTCTCTTAATGAATACCATTCTTAAATTATATTTGACCTATAATTTGGGATGGATGGGGTGCAATACATTTTCAATTTTCACTTTATGATCAATTGATCATAAGTTACCATGTTTATATAAAAAGAGAGAGAGCTAACTAGCAAGGATGAAAAATTACACATTAAAATGCAGAGTCAAGTGTAATGTTGGAATGTTTTAACACCGGGATGACATAGCTAGACTGTGTGAAAGTGAGGAAGCGGTCCAACTCAGCTGGTCGCCAATTCACTCTCACTTATGGGAGGTCCCGGGCTCAATACTCAATGGAGTGAGTTTGATCCCAGTTTACCCCGCAGGCCCCCGAACCCGCAGGCCCCCGAACCCGCAGGCCCCCGACCCCGCAGCCCCCTCCCCCCCCCCCCCCCCCCCCGGTAAAAAAAAAAGCTGGACTGTGTGAAAGTAGCGCCAGAAACAAAGTGTTAGATTTTCCAATCAGATTACTGCCTATTTAACATCACCTACACATTAGGTAATAATATATTGCCAAGGTTGTGTAATAGGTTTAATCAAGTACAGTATAACACTACTCGCATGACTAAGGTCTAAGGTTATAGAGTATCATGTGAACTGACCAGTCTTTTACTGTAAGAATGTAAAAATAAAGTATTTTACTCCTGTTATTCTTTAATCAAGCAGAATATAATGCTGTGATCTTCCCATTTGAGAATTGAACCATACACCCATTTGTATAAGTTTTAGTTTTTAAATACATGATGAGCCAACTTTGTTTCTATGGCCAGATGACGGTAGAAGCTGTGAAAGAAAAGCTCTGGAAAAAGTGTGGCACTTCTGTCACTTCAATGCGTCTTGAACTTTATGATGATAGCGGTTCTAAAATTTCAGAATTAAGCGATGACATGAGGCCATTTGGCTTTTATTCTCCACAAGATGGGTTAGTTTGTCTCCTCGACTACATTGATGTTTCCATAAAAGCTTTCACTTTTTAAAAGCGTTATTATGTGAAATACAACTGGTTCATATGTGGTACAAGAATATTACCTTTAATCTTGGGCATTCCCCCTGTATGGAACTATGGATCTGTTTTAGTTATTTTCTAATAATAAACTCTAGATATTTGTCTTATTGCTTTGCAACATTTTATGTGCTTCTCAGTATACAACCTTGCCCGCACCTTTATTTTTTACATTTGTAATGTAAGGTTTGGTCACGTCTTACCTATTCATTTATGTTTCTCTTTAGTAGTATCCTTTTGGTGTACATTTTTGATAAAAGACCACAATTTATACAAATTTAGATTACTGTGTTTGATAGTTTGGCACTTTAGCCTATATCATCCGCCCCAAACCCTATTTCCATATTTCAATGTTCTTTAATTTTGTCTGAGCTCTTTGTTCTTTCATGTAGGTATAGGCTACATGTTATTGACATTGATCCATCCTCAATATCAGCTGGCGGTTGGATAGATGACACCTCTCTTGTGGAGAAATACACAATCTCGAATGAGGCTTATGATAAACTTGATGGTAATCACAAATTCTTTCAATGCATTATGCTCAATTTCCTATGTAGTGTGATGGTGTCACATTTATTACTATGAGTCTTGGAACCAATAAGTTACTGCAGTCAATGTTAAAATGTTATGCATTGTCTTTTTTTAGATTTTGTTCAGGCGGGTAGAGATACTTGTCATGCTAAAATGTTCTGTTGTTTATTTCTGTTTAGTCTTGTGCTTAGACGCTTTTGATTATTTGAGAGTAGACTTCTTGTTTTAATTTGCCAAGGTTTTTCAAGCGGACAAACCAAGATAAGAAATGGGATGCTTACTGATGTCTTTAGTAGTTTTTTAAATAAAATAAAGCTATTAGTAATTCATTTATTGTTGCCTTATTGCATCTTTGAAAGACGGAGACCCAATCTTTAAATTTAATTTGGGAGGATAGGAACAGGGAATCTACATCTTCCAATGACAAAAACACTTAAAATTTAGAAGTATGATCCTTTTGCAGACACATTTCAATTTTCAACATGCTACTGATGATCTGTAAATTTTGTTTGAAATGATAGGCCTTTTGTTTTCCATACAGGTACTTTCAGAAAGTTCAAGGAGCATTTGCCACAAAAAGATACTACTACTTCTGAAGCTAAAGTACGACTTTCACATTTACCGTTTTATGTTAAGATATACCTAGCACATGGAAAGTACTCAAAGTAGTAAGAATAATCACATGTGACCCCGTGTAGTGTATTTATCACAAGTATTCAGCGATAAGTATATGAAGGGGAGCTTTGGCGCACCGGTTAAGGTGTTGTGTGACCGAGAAGTCACACGTTTAAGTCGTGGGAGTTGGGAGCGGTCTCTTCTCAAGATGACAAGGGAAGGCTAGCCCCCTGTACTCCATTGTGGTGGGACCCTTTCCCGGATCCTCGCCTTGCAAGGATGCCAATATGCACCGGGCTGCCCCTTTTTTGTTCACCAATGTAATATCTCAATTACGCAGTACTCTTAACAATATTGTCCCTGCCTTTTCTCCTAGTAAGATATATAGTATATTAAACATTTCTAAAATTACCATCAAATAACTAAACTTAAAAGTTGTTGGCTTTTCCTTTTATTTGGTGTATTTGATAATTTTGTTCTCTGTATTGATTATTCAAACAGATTTGTGACAATTACATGGAAGATCTTTGCGCATCAATCAAGGTTGGTCTTGTTGAGTTTCAATTTACCTGTCACTTTTTCCTTTTTGTTTTTTCTTTTTTTTGGGGGGGGGGGGGGGGGAGTGCCGTATGGTCCTCACTGATTTGCACTAGTAAACATTCTTTTAATAACCAAACTAGCTTCACGTTGCTGAAAGTACAAGTTGTCCAGGATTTTTGTATTTATATATATAGGCAAATGAATATGAGGAAGGAAAGGATTGATGTTTTGAATTTTGATATAGAGACGTCAAGGGCTTTTCAACTAATAAAGATTAAATGAATATATATATATATATATATATTTATATATATATATATATATATATATATATATATATATGAAGTTGTGGTTGGGTTGTGATTTTGTTGAGATCCCAACCTCCATAATGTTGGGATTTCTTGTGATCCGAAACTCCCATTGCTTTTATAATGAATTTTATGCTTTTCCATAAAATTTGTAACTCATGCCTCAATAGATGATAAGAGAATATTCATAATCCAGATTAACTACAATAACAAAGAGTAAACTATTAGACTAAACATCTCCCAGTCTGTATAGCGAAGAAGATGAAACAGTCAGTCACTGTTTACTTTCCTTTCACAGTTTGGCAGCTCCGTGTTTACTGCTTATACAGTTATACTGCATTCTTCTTTTCTTTTTGTTATTGGTTCATCTCAGTAAGCCATTATGGTTCTTGTGCTTCTTATTAGTTATGACTAAAGTATATGTAATAGAAAAATAAAGAAAGTAAACCCCTAGCTATATAGCACGGAAACGGGGAAACGCAAAACGCAGGAAATGACATTTTCAAACCAAGTAGGACACGAAACGTGGGGGAAACGCGTGAATATAAAAAATATATGAATGTTCTAATAAATAATCATTTCATCATTTTCATTTACCCCAGTGCCGCAAAGGCTCCCACCTATGGTGGGGTAAGGGGGGGTCGGATGTACGCAGTCTTACCCCTATACTAAAGCACAGAGAGACTGTTTCCAGATGACTCATAGTGAAAATCGCGTCCAAAATTGCATGGACCGACTGCTGCTTCATAACAAAGAAGCGCAGACAGTTTAGTGAGCCGTTTTGCTTTATTACATCATAATCTCAAGCCAAAAAATAATGAATCTTTGGCTCCATTGCAAATGATGGAAAATTAATAAATAATCATCATATATGTAAAAACATAAACTTCTCTAATATCAGTGCCAAACAAAATTGTATAATAATGTATCATATATTAAAAACACAAACTTCTCATAAACTAAATTGAGATTGAACATCCATAAACTAAATTAAACTTCATTAAACCCGTTCTCTACTTCATAAACATCATCATCCAAGAAAACATGCTCCAGATCTGGCTCATCCATAGAGAGACTGACAAACTCAAGCACACAAACTCAAGCACACAAACATCTTCTAAGCTGGAAAATTGATCTCCACCAACATCCCATATTTTTGATTTCTCGTCATTGTATTGAGCAGAATTTCTTGCTAGTGGCCGGAGATTATTATGGATGAACACTAAATCTTTTGCGTGCTTTGGATTTAACTTGTTCCGTCTAAGCGAATGGATAAAAGAATATGTGCTCCAATTTCGTTCGCACCAAGATGAAGAACTAGGTTGCCCGAGCACTCTAAAGGACTACTTCTGAAGTAATGGTGCACTCGCACCATACACTGTCCACCATTTTTTAGGATCAGTATCAAACATATCAGAAATAGAATCTGGATCACTGAAGGGACCAATATTTAGAGAGAAATTAGCATATTCATTGTTTGCTTTGACTCGCTCTTCCTTGGAAAAGATTCTTCTAAAACTTTATTTCTCTCTTTAAAAAGTATTAATTAATTCAAAGTTAAATATTAAAAATAAAAAAAATACTACCACTGTCCCAAAATTCTTGGCCAATTTTAAAACTTTGACCAAATATATGTGTATATATATATATATATATTCATTGGAAATTATTTATTTATAATGTAAAAATTATATGAAATTGTTCTTTGTTAAAAGTACATTCATAAAAGTATAAAATTTATAATATTCATAATATTATACTAATCAAAATCATGGTCCAAAATTTAAGATTTGGCTAAGTATTTTGGGACGGACGTAGTAATAAGTTATAGGACAACTAATTAAATAGAAATATACCGTGAGTTTAATGAATGAGCTAAGGAGTGAAGAGGGGTATTATTCTTGGTCCAACGATCAATAAGAATCTTGTGAACACCATAATAAAAGGGAAAATATTCACCAAACGACTTTTTTTCATGCACAAAAATAGTCATCTTCACCTTTTCGATCATTGAAACCGACATTTCATACACCAAGTGCAGAGACGACTTGTTTGTATCATAAGTCCTAATGATATCGTAAATAGGAGAGTGAAGTTCAATATGTAATCCATCTTTTCCTAACAAGTTTCATCTAAAATCTTTTCACGAACAAATCTTGCTTTTCCTTGATCATCATCACGGTGTTCTGCCCATAGGTCACTCAATACCTTTGCCTCTATAACACGTTTAAGAAATATTATCCTCTTAAACATAACAACAATTGAAGCAAAACGAGTATCAACAACCGAAAGCAATTTCAAATTGTTGAATCGGATGAATATAGAGAGCCTCATAGAATGATTCATTATGAAATTCTTAATTTGCACTGCATCTCCATGAATCTCTGTTATCCAGTGACACTCATCATATGTTTATAGATTAGTTTCCACATTTTTTGCAGCACATATGTTCTTCAGCTAGATTAAGAATATGAACAACACATGGAGTCCAATAAATATGTGGGAACATACCTTTGATGATTTCACGAGCGACTTTACAATTTCTAGTGATTATTTGTATCACTTTGTGATAGACAATCTCGTCAATAACTTTGTCAAATATTAGCAAAAAAATGTTTGTCTTTCACTTCACTTGAACCATCCACAGCTTTAATAAACATAGGCCCTGATTCATAGACAACCAACCATTACATTAATTAAAAGCCTCCTTTGTGGATCACTCTAATGTCACTAACAATGCTCACACATTTCTCACTCCCAGTGCTTTTTATTGGTTCCAAACACATCTCTACATGTGTTTTCCCCCGCTGAAGTAGTGTTGTCCTCAATTTATTATAACCGGGAGGTAACATATCCACCCAAATCATGATTAGCAGCAAAAGTGTATGAGCTAATATAATATGGGTTTCTTGCAAAATTTAAAAAAATACCTCAGGTAAAAAACATTCTGGCAATCTCTTCATCTATTTGAGTCCGGGCTTGCATATCAAAAGCCTTAGCTATAGCGGAGTCATCAACTCTTCTTCGCTTTAACGTCTCTAAATGACTTGGTACATTTGAAGACAACGTACTTGAACTAATGTTTACGACTCTAAAGTTATAGAGTTTTTTTGGACAACATCTCTGAAGTTATACAAGTTTTCTAAGTACAGAGTTTTTGAAATAATTTCAATGGAGACTAGCGGTAATAGTTTCACACAATCTAAAGAAGATGTAAGTAGTCCTTTGTGGCAGTATGTTACGAAAATGAAGCGAACAGGTGATGGGGGTGGGAACGTCAAATGGGTTTGCAATATTTGTGGTCCAGAAAATTAGGGTACTTACACCAGAGTGAGAGCTCACTTATTAAAAATTTCTGGAAAAGCAATTGGTATATGTAAGAAGACTTGATGAACCTTGGCAATTTCTGGAGTCATAAACATTGGTTCAAGTACGTTGTCCTCTAATGAACCAAGTCATTTAGAGATTTTAAAGCGAAAAAGACTTGATGACTCCCCTATAGCTAAAGCCCTTTGATATGCAAGCACGAACTCGGTTAGATGAAGAGATTGCAAGATTTTTTTTTACTGGAGGTATTCCTTTTAATTTTGCAAGAAATCCATTTTATATTAGCTCATACACTTTTGATGCTAATCATAATTTGGGTGGATATGTACCTCCCGTTTATAATAAATTGAGGACGACACTACTTCAGCGGGAGAAAACACATGTAGAGATGTGTTTGAACCAATAAATAACACTTGGAGTGAGAAATGTGTGAGCATTGTTAGTGACAAATGAAGTGATCCACAGAGGACGCCTTTAATTAATGTAATAGTTGTTTGTGAATTAGGGACTATGTTTATTAACACTGTGAATTGTTGAGATGAAGTGAAAGACAAGCATTTTATTACTAATATTTTGACAAAAGTCATTGATGAGATTGGCCATCACAAAGTACAAATAATCATAAATAATGCTAAAAATTGTAAAGCCGTTGGAGAAATCATCGAAGGTATGTTTTCACATATTTATTGGACTCCATGTGTTGTTCATACTTTTGATCTTGCTTTGCAGAACATATGTGCTTCAAAAAATGTGGAAACTAATTTGGAAAATGAGTGTCATTGGATAACAGAGATTCATGGAGATGTTGTGCACATTAGAAATTTCATAATGAATCATTCTATGAGACTCTCTATGTTCATTCGGTTCAGCACTTTGAAATTGCTTTCAGTTGTTGATACTTGTTTTGCTTTAATTGTTGTTATTCTTAAGAGGATTAGACTTCTTAGACATGTTTTAGAGGCAATGGTATTAAGTGGGCAAAATACCGCGATGATGATCAAGGAAAAACAAAATCTGTTTGTGAAAAGATTTTAGATGAAACTTGGTGGGAAAAGGTGGATTACATATTGAACTTCACTGCTCCTATTTACGATATGATTATGACTTGTGATACAAACAAGCCGTGTCTGCTCTTGGTGTATGAAATGTGGGATTCAATGATCGAAAAGGTGAGGATGACTTTTTTTGCGCATGAAGGAAAGCCATTTTCTGAATATTCTCCCTTTTTATTATGTTGTTCACAAGATTCTTATTGATTGTTGGACCAAGAATAATACTTCACTGCCTAGCTCATTCTTTAAACCACAGTATATTTCCATTTAACTAGTTGTTCTATAATTTTTTATTTTTAATATTAACTTTGAATTAATAAATACATTTTAAAAGGTATTATAGCGAAAAATGGCTTCAAGAAGGAGGAGTTGATAGAGTCTCTCCACATATGGACACTGAACTGTGTTTAGGGAGAAATAAATGTTTTAGAAGAATCTTTTCCAAGGAAGAGCGAGTCAAAGCAAACAATGAATATGCTATTTTCTTTCTAAAGATTGGTCCCTTCGGTGATCTGAATTCTATTTCTGATATGTTTGATACTGATCCTAGAAAATGGTGGGCAGTGGATGGTGCGAGTGCACCATTACTTTAGAAGTTATCTTTTAGAGTGTTCGGGCAACCTAGTTCTTCATCTTATTGTGAACGGAATTGGAGCACATATTCTTTTATCCATTCGCTTAGACGGAACAAATTAAATCCAAAGCGCGCAGAAGATTTAGTGTTCATCCATATTAATTTCGGCTACTATCAAGAAATTATGCTCAATACAGTGAAGAGAAAATGAAAATGTGGGATGTTGGCGGAGAACGATTTTCAAGCTTAGAAGATGTTGGTGTGCTTGAGTTTGCCAGTTTCTCTTTGGATGAGCCAGATCTAGAACATGTTTTCTTTTATGATGATGTTCATGAAACAGAGAATGAGTCTAATGAAGTTTAACTTAGTTTATGGATGTTGCAATTTCAATTTAGTTTATGAGAAGTTTGTGTTTTTCAAGATATGATACATTATTATTCAGTTTTGTTTGGCACTGATATTAGAGAAGTTTATGTATATATGATTATTTATTAGAACATCCCTATTTTTTTTTTACTTACGTATTTCCTCACGTTTCGTGTCCTACTTTTTTTGAAAATGCAGTTTCCGTGCTACATAGATAAATACAAGAAAAGGTACAAATGTGTGTCAAGAGGTTTTTGTTTCTGTGTTTCTTTTATGAACACATGTCCTTGATATATAAATTATTTTGATTCTGAACTGACAACTTCTTCTTGCTGAAGAAGGTAGGAGATAGATGCTTGGTTGAACCTAGAGAAAGGAGGGGCGTTGTCAAATTTGTGGGTCAGGTAGAAACGCTTGCTCCTGGCTTTTGGGTTGGAGTGCAATTCGACGAACCCGTAGGAAAACACGATGGCATGTAAGTTAAATAATACTACGTAATTTTAAGTTACCACTCTCTTTGTCCCATATTAAGGTTCTTGGTTCGATCTGCAATCGTTGACCTGCAATATTAAAAAAACTTACTGGTATATGCAAATTAAGTTGACTACTTGAATGGTGTGTTAGAACCCTATTCTTGGCTGGAGGTAGTACTTTTTTTAATGTTCCATAGTGCTATTGTTGATTTTATGTTACTACCATGTATGACTTTGCTATGAGCCTACGAGATATCTCTATACCAAGTATCTCAGCTCTTTGTTGTCCTATGATGATTAAAGAATATGTGATGCACATATTGATTAACCAGGAGGAAAATATGATGGCATGTAGCTTAAAGATTGTATTTTTGCAAAATTTTCAGTTCCACAGTACTTATGTTCACCGTACAATATCAATTCTGCAATAGGATGTCAATATAACAACTATGCCCAGTCATTGTCATTGCATGCATGGTGGTGATGATTTTGGAAATTCATCACATTATTCGTGTAGAAGGTTGCGACAAAGGATATTCAACATAAAGCTTTGTCATTGTATATTTTTTGCACGAATCTGTAGCATTAATTATTTTTTTGCATGTATTTGTAGCATTATGTAATAATTAAAATACCCCAAACTTTGAAGGGGTGTGAGATAAACACTCCAAACTTCCATATGTAATTTAAATACCCCAAACATTAAATAAAAAGTTATTTTAACACCATGGGCATGTATTATTTCTTTCAAAAATGTAAATTTATGATGTTTTTTCATAATTTAAAATAGCAAATTGAAAACATTGCAATTATATAGAGTGGGGGCTAATGCTATTTATTTTACGATGAAAGTTTAGAATGTTAATTGAATTCATGAATGCTAAAATATTTTAAATTATAAAATCAACACCAAAAATTAACATTTTTGAAAGAAATAATACATGATCATGGTGCTAAAATAACTTTTTATATAAAGTTTGGGGTATTTAAATTACATATGCGAGTTTGGGGTGTTTCCATCATTTTCAATGGAGCCAAAGACTCACTATTTTTTGGCTTGGGAATATGATGGAATAAAGCAAAATGGCTCACTAAACTGTCTGCGCTTCTTTGTTCTGAAGTAACGGTCAGCCTATGTAAAGGTCTCTATGTGCTTTAGTACAGGGGTAAGACTGCGTACATCTGATCCCCCCTTACCCCTTTGTGGCACTGGGGTAATGATGATGATGATGATGCGAGTTTGGGGTGCTTATCTCACACCCTTTCAAAGTTTGGGGTATTTTAATTACTTTTCCCTAAAATCTTTTAACAACTAATTAATACTTTGAACAGTATGTCACTGATTCCAATTTAGTATGGGATTTTGTTTTGCAACTAAAAGAAGGTAAAATGAAGTTCAGTTTGATGATATCTAGCAACTCACATCGTATACATGCAGATACAGGAGTTAGATTAAGAAACTTATGAACATGTTAAAACCACTCAATAATACAATATCCTCCGAGTAAATAACACTGTTAATGAAATAGGTTATGCAATCTCACAAGACCCAAACACCGTTTGTGGGAGAAACAATTCATATGCAGGTGTAAGTTTAGGTCCTTGTTTTGATCGATGATCCTTAAATATGTGTTTCAAGCACATCGTTGCCCTCAGGTGTTGTAAACTTGCATTGGTTATTTGTTGAACTCACAAACCACTTTGACTTGAAAATAATTCTAACAAGGCATCTTCTTGTTCACATCATTCCCAATTTCTTTACGTTGGCTCTACGGAAAAATGATTTGTCTTTTGATTCTGCAACAACCTTGGAACTGGAATCAACGGTAGAATCAAGATGCCTTCTTTACATAATACAGTGTCAGATGTCCCAGATGTTTGGTGACCATGTACTCAAACTGATACTTACTTTTATTCCTTTTTAATTACAATAGTTTGACTTTCATGTTTGCCTATACACAACTTCAACTGCTCATATATATAATTAACATTAGTAGAAGTAATAAAAAGTTGATATTTTTAAAATTTAATATAGATGATGTTTAAACGCAGTTTATATAAATGGTACATAGTTTTTTTCACTCCAAGGGGTTGGGAGGAGGAGGCTTGGGGTAAATAGGGCTGAAGCTCCCTCAATGGAGTTTCGAACCCGAGACCTCCCGTATAGGGGAGTGAGTCGACGACCAATTGAGCTGGACCGCTTCCTCATAAATGATACGTAGTTATTTCTTTTCATACATTACTAGTATAAATATGGTCAAAGTATGGTAATGGAATAATCTGAAAGTCAAAATGTTGCAATTAAAAAACAATGGAGCCTTCCCAACCCTACATTTGGACTTTCTCCTGTAAAGTCAAAATGTTGCAAATTCTTCTTCTGTTACGGAGGAAAAATGTATTAATGAAATATAATATACAAGTTTTTATGCCTTCCAAATATGCAATTTTACATTGGATTTAAGGTGTTGCCTCAAGAAATTAGTATGGTGTTTCTTTTTTGCATCAATAGCTCAACTTTGACCGTTGCTCTTCTGTTAGGGTGAAAGGCAAACGCTACTTCGACTGTCCTCCTCTTCATGGCTCAATTGTTCGCCCTGATAAAGTAAAGGTTTGTGCAGCTTTTTTAAAATATTCCAGATTTCCAGTAATATGAGGGAGTGAGGAGAGTTCTGATATATGGTTGGTTGGTTAGTTACTTATTTTGTTGTCACTTTGTGCACATGAAATAGTACTGCATTTTGTGCTTCCTAGGGTCATTTTATTTTACTTTAGAAAATTATAGTAAACAATATCCCTATCATTTGTCAAACCTCTACCAATTATATCTTGGTTACAACCATTGGTGAGTTATTGGACAAGCTTATTTTTCAAAATTTAATCTCTCCGCGCAAAAAAAAAAATCATGTTTCAAAGCTTATTTTTGTTAAAACTAAGGTTCTTTTCAACAAAAGAAACTAAATTCCATTGAATATAATGTAAATTTCCAGAAGAGGTTCTTATGAAGTTAAAGGTGCTGAACTCAGTTTAAGAATTTAAGTAGTATTGATATTTTACAGATGTTGAACTTTACCAAAACTAAAAACTTATATCTAGATTGATCGAGATTGTTTTCCTAGAATGGAGTTGTATTATTATTTGAACATACCAGTGCGAAATTACACAGGGAAAAAGTTATGGTAGGACATTTTATCTAAATCTGAAAAAAAAACTGATGTCCTTGGTCGTTTATAACGTTATATAGTGATGGTGTTGGTTCTGGTTGTGTAATACTTGGGTGTTTGTTTGTTCGTTCAGGTTGGGGATTATCCAGAGCTAGATCCATTTGAAGAAGAGGAAATTTAGTTGTGACCATTTTGAATCGTTACAACTCTGTTATTAGCATTTTTCATCTGAGAGAAACAAATGGAAATGCAAAATTACTGGCACTGAAACTAAATGTAACATTCTGAAATACATGTGAGTGGTTGTAAAGCAAAAAAAAGAACTAACTTATAAAATTATATTTGGGTGTGTAATCACTTCGCTAGCCTTTTATGTCTTTCTTTCTTTCTTTGGAGAGGAAAGATTGCTGCTCTTTCTCGTTACTTGCGGCTTGCAGTTGCAGATCATGCAATATTAATGCAGCGTGAAATGAAACTAGTTCTAAAAATGCTAGCTGGTCAGCTGGGTAATACATTTGCAGTGGTCACTCACCCATTGAACTTATATCTAATCTTACTATGTTCATGAAAGAAATAAAACAAAATGACTTGCTAAATTGTCCGGCTTCTTTAATACTCTCTGTCCCATAAAATTCTTCTCACTTCCCTTTTTGGGTTGTTCCAAAAAAATCTTCTCACTTACCATTTTTAGACAATTTGTGTGGTTCATATTCATTTCACATTTTTCTTATACAACTACAACCACACATTTTCACTTTTTCCACTTTCTTATTCTCCGTGTCAAGTCAAAGTGGGAAGAATTTTCTGGGACGGAGGGAGTATGAAGCAACAATTGGTCTATGCAATTTTCGATGCGACTTTCATCATTAGTAATCTGGAAACAGTGGCTTTGTATTTTAATATAGGAATAAGGTTGCGTACTGCGTACATTTGACATCCTCTAACTCCACCTACGGTGAGACTGTGAGAGTCTTTGCGGCACTTGGGTAATGTTTTTGTTGTTAATACATTCATGAATGATGAACCGTATTACCTAGGGGTGGACTCGGGCCGGGCCAATCGGCCCGGAACCGGACCGGCCCGCCATGGCGGGCCCGGACCGGCCCGGGAACCGGTTCGTTGGGCGGTTCGGGCCACCCGGCCCGGTGGATTCTCGGTTCGGGCTCGGGCCCTTCAAAAGGTGAACCGGCCTGGCCGGTTCGGGCTCGGGCCGGGCCAATTTTATTTTGTTTTTTTGTTTTTTTTTTTAGTTTTTGGGTTGGGCTGGTTATTTTGGGCCATTTGAGGTGGTTAGGGTTGGTTTGGGGGTGAGGGGGAGGGGTGGGGGTTAACTAGGAAAAGCCAAAAAAAAAAAAATATACCCGAGGCCCGGCCCGGCCTGGCCCGGATCCGGGGGTTACCCGGGCCGGTTCCGGCCTCCCCTTCTTGAACCGAGGCCCGGCCGGGCCCAGGCCCGAACCGGCCCGAGTCCACTCCTAGTATTACCTTTGTAGATGAAGATGAAGATGAAGATGAAGATGGAGGTTTGGGTTTTGAATAATAAATCTTTATTTATTTGATTAAAAATTCCTATCTCGTATTTTTTAAAAAACAAGCATTAAATTGTAATATTTATATGTAATTAAAATACAATTGTTAATTACAATTGTGTAATTTATCTATTTCACAAGACCTAGTTACATTAATTAGCACAAAAGCCCTCGTACAGAATGGAACGAGCTTGTAACTACTTTCTTTTTCATACTTTGTCATTATTTACGTTTCTTAATATATTCTCTTTTCTACGTTTTCATTTATCTTACACCTCTATACTACTCCTACCATTTTCTTCATAAAATCCACAAAAGATCTAAGGAGACTATTATTTAAAAACGGTGAGAGTATTAATATAGTGTTTTATACTTTAGGGCCTCATATTCAATTTTGCACAGGGCCTTTTATATGTCTGAGCCGGCCCTGTGATTGGGTGACTAAAAATAACAAAAACTCGTCTATTTTTTATTATCCTTATGATAGTTTTGTTTTGTTTAAGTCTAAAAGAGTATCTCTAACTTACTATTACATTCTATTTGAAATTTGTCTCCTCATACTTAAAAGAGTGTGTAGTTCCAGAGAGTATTTTGGGTTTTTGATTCATTCATAAAGGGTTTTAAACATTGTCTTCTCATACTTACTATTGATGACACACACTTAGATGGGACTTATAAAGGTACGATGTTGGTGGCAATGGGTAGTGATGTTAATAATCAATTTTTTTTTACCCACACGGGTAGCTCAGTTGGTTCAGTGGTGGGAAATTTGGACCAAGTGACCAAGGTTCGAAACCCGCAGCGGCCGTGTGGAGGTCACAGAACCAGGCCCGAACCGGCCCGAACCGGCGATCCCACTCCGGCAAAACTCCATTTCATCTCATTTTGAACTTAGGGTTTTGAATGTTAAAAATTTCGAATTTTTAGATTATGAATTGATTGTGAATTGAGTTGTTGTGAAATGTGGATATGTATGAAATGTTGAAATTTGATTGTAAATTTGGGTATTGAAATGTAGACTTGAATGTAGATATCAAAATTTGGGTATTTTCATATTGAAATGTGAGTTGTTTGTGAATTTTGACTTTTGGATATATTAGAATTTTGGTAGTTTTTTCTATTGAAAAATTGAATGTGTATAAATTGTGTATATTGATGTCTACTCATGATAGTTGGACAATGAATTGTTATTAAAATATGGATTTCTCAAACTTCCCAATGGTGTGTCATTGAGGAGGGAACTATTATGAGAATGCTGGGCAAATATGCCATGAAGGTGGTAGAACCACATTTGTCATGGTTTCTCGTGGTGCTTGCATGCTCGAGATCCTTCAAAAAATACATGCAGGCACAATGATTCATCCTAGCCGTTCTTTGGGTTTGAAAATGAAATTTCCCATGAACTGGGGAAAGTACATGCTTATGCCCCTCATTGATGAGCTAGCTATAACAAATATGTGGGGCATAGTTCAGATGGAGGACATGTCGACGCTGGAGATATACATTGAGGAATCCATATGTGACGCTTATGGTACTCCATCAACATCAAATGCTGTTGTATCTAGGCATTATGTCAATGCAGGTGTGAATGCAGGGAACTCCTCAAATGCTCCTCTACTGGACATGGTTATACAGGAAGATGGTAGGTATTTGCACAACGGTGCATCATTTGTGGATGGGCAGGGAAGTGATGATGATGTTGACGACAACATCAATGGTGATGACATGACAGAATCTGATGAAGATGATGGTGATACGGTCACGGCAACTGCCCCGTCTAGCCACTCTACTAGAATGTATGATCTCCCTGAAGGCTTTACTGATGCGTGGATGAGTGGATCAGATGAGAAAAGGTTTGCCCCCGAAGGTGAGTTTGAGGTCGGTCAACAGTTTGACAACAAAGAACAAGTCATCAATATGGTGAGCTTGTATTCTATCAAACGGAACCAATTTTATCGGGTGATAGAGTCCGATAAACACAAATGGGTGGCACAATGCAAAAGGAAGAAAGAATGTAATTGCCCCTGGAGAATACGCGCCACAAAGAACAAAGGCAACCTTGACACCTTCACAATTGTGTGTTATCCTGGACCTCATTCTGCTACGTGTGTTGGGAACACCGACACTACCGATCACGTGGCTTTGACTTCAGATTTCATCTCTACAGATGTGATTGACATTGTTCGCACTAATCCTTACCTTAAAGTGCATACTATCATTGAGATGCTGAAGGAAAGTATGGGTATACGGTATCATACTGGAGAACATTGATGGGGAAGCGTTGGAGGCAGGAGACACACACATTTCACCTCCCTGTTGGTGAGGTGACAGTGACCTTGGGAGATGTTGCTGCACTTACTGGGCTACAGGTTGATGGGAGAGCTGTTACAGGCACTGCTTGTCGACAGTGGGTAGATGAGTGTGAGCGGTTGTTAGGTGTCCGACCCCTTCTTTGGACTGACCTTCAGGGGTCATCCCTGAGGATGTCATGGTTGAGGGAGCACTTCCAGGTGCTTCATCCGGACGCTGATGAGGTGATGATCCATCAGCATGCGCGGGTATATATCTTGATGATGATGGGAGCCTCCATTTTCGCTGACAAGAGCGGAAATGAGATTCAGGTGCTGCACTTGCCTATGCTAGAGAGGTTTGATGTAGCATCACAGTTCAGTTGGGGTAGTGCCACGATGGCTTATCTCTACAGACAGCTGTATCGCAGCAGCCATAGAGGGAGCACAGAGCTTGGAGGATTTTTGCTACTCCTCCAGATTTGGTCATGGGAGTATATCCACATTGGGTGCCCCCTTGTAGTCGTATATCATGGCATTGATGGACACCCACTCCCTGATGAGCCTCCACGTCTTCTCGGTCCACATCATGTATGGGGCGAGGACCCTCTAGGCCGTCGGTATGTTTTCAATCGTTAGTATTTATGTTATTGTATGTTGAATGTAAGTATATTAATAATATCCATATTAATGAAACAGTTACATGAATCGTTAGATGGCTATTTGCCGGTCTAAGTCGCATGTCATCCGCTACTGGGCTCGGTGTCTACAGGGATGCATTTGATCGGATGTCTGAGGATCAGGTATCGTGTGGGTAATATAACATATGCTATAATATGTATAGCATAAATACTAATTTTGTATCTTTATAAAACAGATTACATGGATGTCGTATACAGCTGAGATGTTTGCAGAGTTGCCCCCAGCTGGACGAGAGCATAGTCACATATGGCGAGCACGTGTGCCGTTGATATGTTTTGACATTGTTGAGCTTCATTTTCCTGATCGAGTCTTGCGATAGTTTGGGTTTGAGCAGGTCATTCCACGGCCTATTGACACTTATGTAGAGCTTCATAGGCTGGATAAGCGTGGGAAGCATACGGAGGATTGGGCACTCGGACATGTCCAATACGTCGCTCTGTGGGACAGGCGAGCTGAGCTAGTTGTGACTGGGACACCGACATTTGTCCCATCTGTTTCAGGAGACTACATGGGATGGTATTACAGCATCACTCGTTTGTTTGTGTCTCCTTCGTTCAAACTCCCTACTCATCATTATCAGTCTAGCTCCTTGGCTTTGCATCTTACGGTGATTATATTACTAATTAGTAAAGTAAGTCATTTTATTTATTTAATACTTGTATGGATTTCAATGTAATTGTAATTGTGTTTCATATTTCGGACACGAGCTTTGCAGCGTATACATCAGCGGGCTACTGCCACAGTGAGTGATACTCATGATGTGGACATGTATGGACAGACTCTGACAGGCATTGCCTCCTTGTGTTCAGATGTGTTGGGGCGAGTCGACTACGGCCATCTTATACACATGCCCCCATCTCAGGAGATGCCATCAACGTCTAGTGCGGCGGCAGCTTCATCATCCCAGACACAACATGAGACAGTGGTTCTTCAACCACGGCTACGGCGTAGGCGTAGACATCAGCAGCAACATCTTTGTGACCACGATGATCAAGATGACCATGAGAAC